TTATTATATTTTATCATCATGATGACATAGCTTTTAGCACGTTCCATATCTCACTGTTTTCAATAATGTGAGTTTGCCTAGTTTCGTTTAGCCACAATGTATAATTAACTAGTACTTGTGTTTCTAAATTAGTGAAAGAAGTTATCACAATCACGCACCTTGGAAAAAGCTTGAGCTATAAGTCAAAAGATTGTTTATGGAAGCATGCGTTTTGGTTGCAATTCATCGAGATGAGTTGTATCTACTGTGTACTCTCAAGTCTCAAGTGTGAACATAATTAGTAGAATGAGTACTGTGTTGTGATGGGTGAACAGAAACTAATTAACTAATCAATTATGTTAAGTAATGGTTATTTTTATTGAGAAAGGTTATATATACAAAATTTTTGTTTACAAAATATACCATGTACTACGGGTAGTACATACTACTTGAGCATACATGTACTATTCGTAGTACATAGTGTAGTTTATAAGAGTTTGTAAATAAAAAAGTTTATAAATATAAACTACTTCATTTTTGTATACCGGCCATAGTGTATATATAATATTCTAGGCTTTATACATATTATTCAAATAAAATACTAAAATAGTATAAAAAAACTAAACTTCTTAGAGAATACTAAATATAACTAAAAACATATTATTCATGATTAACTAGTGTACGAATCCATCAAAATTAATTATCTGGACGAATTTGAAGGCCAAGGAAGGAAATCATGTAGATCTCATTATGCAACATGCAATACATATTATTCACAAATAAGTATTCTGTTACATAATTATGATGCAATTTATATTATAAAATTTACAATCCCACACTAATTAAATAACATTTTGTGTGTTTGATATCATTAAAGGAAGAACAAGCAAAAAAGGCCATCAAATTGATCTGGTTTATTTGTTTTCAGTCAAACATATATATCATAACTTCACATCTAGACCTTTCAATCAATAATTTGCATGCACAGGTCTTAGTTTTCAGAAAATAAACCCTTTCAAAATTTGATTACTATAGATCAAGTATAAAGAAAACATAACTAGGGAACAGAAAGCTTAATAGAACACACTTGAAAAAAAAAAACAACGAGAAGAAGAAGAAGCAGAAACCCAGTAATTAATTTTCAATTTCAAAATACTTTTGAGTGCGTGCAGAAGGGTTCAACTTCTCTAGGATCTCAAGAACGTATAATAATACGGATTCAATACTATTCTACATACATATTCATGTAATATATCTTTTACTCATAGCTATAAGGTTTTCCACAAAATTAATCATCCAAGATAAAAGGAGAAAACTATAACCAAAGCCATGACATAGATCTAACATAAAATTCAATTCTTTACTTTTACAAGCCAAAAATTCAATTCAATCACCTAAACACAAATACATATATTAAGAGAGATCTTCATACAAACCAGAATAGTAGCATAGCTGAAACATACAGTAACATAAGATAACAAGCTTGCAAAGTTTTCACTTTTTCAGATACCACATATATAAACCCTAGATATGTCTAGATTCAAGAACTTTTTACCTGAGAAAATAAGGAAAGAAACCCACATCAACAAAAAAAAAGTTTGCAAAAAGAACACTAAAGCTAATAGAGTCATCAAATTAACTTGCTTGATGTAGCAAATTAATTATCAATAATCGGACCAAGATGCTTGATTCCCCAGAAGAAAGAGCTGAGAAGAGTTTGAGAATGAATGAAAACTGATGAAAAGTGAAAACTAAGAGACATCACCCTTCTTCAACCAAAAACTATGATCATGTAGTGTTGTTGTTGTTGTGAGCTTTTTTTCTTGAAGCAACACACATGTCTCTGAAATTGAGAATGGATTGAGATGTTTTCTTTTGTTGTTGTTGCTCGTGACTTGTGAGGAGGAGTAGTAGTAGTAATGATGATGGTGCTTTTAGGTTTGTGGGGTGGTTGAGGCCTAAAGGGAACATGATGAAGTGGGCACAATGATGGCGATAGAGAACATAGCAGAGAGACATGATGATGATTCTGGCGTTGAAATAGAGGCAGAAGAGTTTCAAAGGATTTTGTGCACCCTCTCTTTTATTTATTTATCTCTCTCTCTACACCCTCTCACATGGTGTGAGAGAGGAACCATTTATGAAACCTAATAAGGTGGTCTTGGTCTAACCTTAACAGTAATCTATTCTGCTGTAAAGTAAATAAAACATGGAATTAACGTTTGTTGTATGACAAGATGAGATACAACAAACGTTAATCTATTTTGCTGTAAAGTGAATAAAATATGGCTATTTCTTATTTCAAAAAAAAAATTGACTATATCTCTCTTCGCTAACATTGGATTTTTTCTTCTTCTACTAATTATCGTTTAATCATTAATTTAATTAAGCCGAACACGATTAAAAGGAGATAAAACTCTTATACTAAATTTTTTACATATATAGGTGCATATTAAGCACTCGAAATTGAGATTTCTCATTAAATTAGAATAATTATATATCAATTAATCACGTATGGGGTGGAGAGAATTTTATTAGTTGTAAAAACCCTTGCTATAAATGATGATAATGTCTTAAAATTGTAAAACTTTTAAGACTACATATTTATTGATATTGAAATCTATTTAAATCTTCAAAAATTTTAAATTGTTACGCATTTACCTCCTCAACTTATTTGATTACTACTGAGGATAGGAAAGTGTAATCATTTTGTATTTGTAAATTGCAAAATCAATGTATATATGTATCTATATTTTTCGGTTGTTATCATATCTGCAGATTTATCACACGGAAAATAAATAGGCATACACACATTTGACCTCTAGCTATTACACAAAGGATGTTGAAAAGTTTCACTGGAGTAAAAAGTTCAACCAAAGAAAATGTACCGAGCGATTTGGACAATAGAACTCAATATTGAGAAGTACTACATTTGGAAAATCACGTAGTTAAAAACAAGCTTGTTCGATTTAATATTTTGTCTTAAAATTGTTTTAGGGGAGATTTATTTTTCTTATTTTGGTTTTTATATTAACACTTTAAGTATAATGGATCTTGATCCATACTAAATCGGGTGAAGGGTTTAATCCAATAATAACCTAAATGGCCCAAAGACAAAGATTTAGTAAATAAAGAAACATATATATCACGCGTACACGCAATCTCACGAATACACAGCTAGACTAATAACAATTCAATACTCATGAACTTCTTTAATAATCAATGGCTAAGAAACATGCACTGTATTCTAGCCAAGCCTATGCATCATATTTCATCAAAGGCATGTCACAAATGGGATAGGCTAACAAAGCCACAACAATTCACCAATGAGAATGAATGCCACCATACTACGGCGTTATAAGGATATCATGCCACTACTATTAAAGAGAGCTTTAAAGTCTATATATGATCATTTTCTTCTTATTTACTTAAGCTCGTTACTTAAAATAGTGCATTGAGTGTTGAAGTCTCTTACAGGTACTCCCATATATCTCAGACAAGCAGACTTCTTCAGTATTAGTATAGTATCATCATCCCGTGGATTCTATCCTACGTAATAGAACAACAGATCTCATAACAATCATTCTCCAATCACCACTTAGATCAGATTAAATTATTTATGGTTAGGCTCAACTTCTCTTCAACAAATGAATAACAAAAATGAGGGAGGTAAGGAATGTGATCTGAGACAAATTTTAATTACTATGATAGAAATTTGAATCTTAGAATATCTACTTTGAATAAGGTTTTATCTAAATACCACTAATGATCCAAAGGAATAATGTTACAGCTATGCCCATGTAAATATCCTGTCTAAGATAAATGCAATAAAATTAGAATAATTTCCTTTATGATGTATAAATATACTATAGATTTGTATAATGTAGATAAATTATAATAACTTCAATCTATCAATATATCTCGGGCTGAATACAAAGTCATTACATAGATAAAAAAAGAATAAAATTATCCATTGCATAAATATGAATAATAGGACTATAAATGATACAAAATAACAATTCAAAATGTAATTTTTATATGATTTTTTTTACCTCAAGAGAGGAGGAAAAAAGTGTGGCTGAGAAATAAACATGAAATCCTCATCTAAAATATAGTTTAGAAAACTTTTATGTTTGGATAATGGGTTCTAAGGAAGCAATATATATTTTGAGAGGAATTAAAATGACTGATATCTTGTCCGCTGCAAATTTCACAGACACTATATCTCACTTTTTTTTATTTTATTAATGAAATTTTGGTATTTGCTTAGCATTCTACAATGGGTCATGACTGTTAATCTCACCTATTTCAAGAAGACTAGTTTGAATTGCACCAGTTTCAAGACAAACCCCCCAAGCATTTTATTTTTTATGTAATTTTATTGCAAATAATAGACATTAAATTGTTACAATTCAATTCATATGAATTTAAAATTGCTTAGAATTTCAAAATACCCATCCAAACACAACCGTAATGTCAAACTCAACAGTGTCAAATCTACTCAACGTATTTTACGAGAAAAAACTACTATCCAATTTTAGTGCACATTTTTAAGTTTTTTATCCAATGATTTATGGTGCTTCACTTGTCACAGTGCTGCTAACACTATCTTTATCAATCAAACAAAAGGACAAGTGCTAGTCATGGCACGACTTGAGGAGTCTCACGATAATGTTTTTAAGATATTATAATGTCGAAAGGCAAATAAAAAAGGAAAAGTTCTAAATAATCGACTGAAATATATTAGATCATGAACATGAAAGACAAAATGGCTCAAACAGCAATGGTTAGTCGATTAAGTATGGATGGTGAGGAGAACGAGGACCCACACTACATCAAGTTTGGCACCCGAAGAAGAGCTACCTTTGCTTTACTAACAAAGATTATACGCCCAATTGGGAGCACTTAAGGTATGATTATAATAAATAATAGTTAGTTTAGTGCGTAAATCAATTAGTTGGTTAAGAATAGGTAGGCTAACAAAGCTTGTATAAATAGAATTAAATTAACTAAATGGCTCATTATCAATTGATTGCAGGGATCATCATTGATTGCAGGGATAAATGGCATTAATCATTAGAACAGTTTATCTTGATAGAACAATAAAAATGATCAACACCTCTTGAGCTTCTCGTTTTGGGATAGCAAAAAGAGGACCCTGATTATGGCCAAAGCAAGACCAGGCTATGTTTTGTACAAACATGCAGCAGAAGTTCAGATGCTATAATGGAGCGATTTACTGTTATAGTTCACTTATTACGCAGAGTGGAGTCACCATGCTGCATGCAACAACTTCGCCAACACTAGAAAACCTCTTTCTTATTTCTTTTCCAGTTCCTCTTTGGTGTTCTCATTCCATCTACAATATCAAACGTCTGAGACACCTTAGAAAATTTCAATATCCATCACCTATCTCCAATTTTCATGACTATGACTTCATAACTCTCCTATAAATCCTAGTGCAAACAACAACACCACAGGCAGAGCCAATGAAAAAATTACGGCAATATGTTAGTAGAAACTTGATCCATAAAAAGTTGCAATTTCTGTTGGTTACTGCAACCCACATTCAACTCTGATTGCTTCCAAAAGTTCAGGAGACACACTGGGCTTTGCCCCTTCCTCTTTACCCACCTTATTAACATTTATTGCACTGCCAGGTTTTTTCTCTCCTTTCCCCCAACCCCTGTAAAGTATGACTTTGCTAGGTTCCTGAGAGACTAGAACGGCACCTGTTGCTTGCTGCAAGAATAAAAGGGAAAACAAATTTCAGGATTTAGAGAGACCCTATTGCCCAAGAAAGAATAATTCAAAGAGGAAGAGATGAGAAAAAAAGGTAAGGAATTTCAGCATGTGCACCTCTAGCTTGGACACCACCTCCTGAACTGAGGTCCCTTTTGCCCTTCCTTTGACATGAACTATGGCAAGAGGGTACTTCCGGAAGTGAGCCTTGATTGCATTCGCAAGACCAGTCACCATATTGCTCTTTCCTGAGAAGAAAATGTGGCAATAGAACAAAAAAGAGATGGTATTCCTTCCAATTAGCATAGTTTCAGGAAAGTACAATGAAATATAAGATGAGGTAAAGCAGGAAACAGCAGTTCCAGAGCCATCTGGAAAGAAAGTACTTAATACATCACCCAGAACAAAAAAAATTCAAGCAGTTGACATCAATTGAAGATTTACCACTCACAAGAGTGAGATTAAAAAAGAAAAAGATAAAGAAACTAACAGTTTTTGCTAATTCTTTTTTGTGCCGAGGAACCAAAATTAGAGTGCTAGTTAGCTATTTTAGCTCAGCTAAAACAAGCTACAGTTTTTGTAATTAATGCAGAAAGCGGGGGACACTAGATAAAGCTACAAAAAAAAAGCTCTCAGCAAGATTGTATAAACTTTAGTGTCAGGACAACATAGAACATACAATGTTGGCAAAAAGAAAATAAAGCTGAAAACAATACCTACGGCAAGGAGAGGTTGCTTTCTCAACCTTAAGGCCTGCTTTCGTAGAAGAAGTCTCTCTTTGTTGGATAGATATACAGATCTAGAAGGCAACTCATTTGAACTCCCATTTATCACCGAAGCTGATGGTTCAGGATCACTTCTTGATGATGTGACGGATGATTCCATTGCCTTGTTATTAGGGACGGAATGCCGAGTATCAACCACAGAATCACTCACTCCATCCAACTGAATCCACGTTGATTTTACCAAATCAACATTTAGAAAAGAATAAAGAATCCAAACATGTCAAAGGAAAGACAGACTACTAGCTGATAATCCAGGAGATAATGGAGGTAAATATTAAAATTTTCATCAGTCACAGTCATAATGAGCTTGCCTGTGTTTCCTTATGAATCAGACCAGCCAAAGATTCTGGTTCACCTGGATGAGCTCCACCATTATCAACCACAGAATCACTCACTCCATCCAACTGAAATCCAAGCTAATTACCAAATCAATATTTAGAAAAGAAACAAGAACCCAAAACATGTCAAAGGAAACCCAGACTTAACTAGATGATAATCCAGGAGAAAATTGAGGTAAATAGTTAAATTTTCATCATTCATAGTCATAATGACCAGTAGGGGTGTGCATGGATTGAACCGAACCGAATTGGTTTAAACGGTTCGGTTCAAAAATGGTTCGGTTCGGTTCGGTTCAAAATCAGTTCAGTTCGGAAGTGGTTCGGTTCGGTTGGAAACAGTTCTTTCGGTTCGAAACCGGTTCGGGTCGACCCTATTTTGAAAAAAAAGAATTAAATTTTTTAAAAAATAAAGTAATAAAATCAGTTTGGTTTGGTTCGAAAATGGTTCGATTCTTGGACTGGTTCTAAAAACCGGTTCGGTTCATGAACTGGTTCATTAAAAATCGGTTCGGTTTATGAACTGGTTTTTAAAAACTGGTTATTTTAAGTGTAGTTCAGTTCGGTTCATGGTTCGGTTCAGTTTTTTGATTATTTTGCACATCCCTAATAATGAGCTTGCCTGTGTTTCCTTATGAATCAGACCAGCCCAGGATTCTGGTTCACCTTGACAAGCTCCATCATCATCATCAACCACAGAATCACTCACCCCATCCAACTGAAATTCATGTTAATTTCACCAAATCAGTTTAGAAAAAGAAACAAGAGCCCAAACATGTCAGAGGAAATCCAAGAGAATGGAAGTAAATAGTTAAATTTTCATCTGTCATAGTCATAATGAGCTTGCCTGAGTTTCCTTACGAATCAGACCAGCCCAAGAGTCTTGTTCACCTGGACGAGCTCCACCATCATCAACCACAGAATCAATCACTCCACCAAACTGAAATCCATATTAATTTTACCAGATCAATATTTATAAAAGAAACAATAACCCAAAACATGTCAAAGGAAACCCAGATTTAACAAGATGATAATCAAGGAGAGAATTTAGGTAAATAGTTAAATTTTCATAAGCCATAGCCATAATGAGCTTGCCTGTGTTTCCTTATGAATCAGACCAACCCCAGATTCTTGTTCTTCCGGACGAGCTCCACTATCATCAACCACAGAATCACTCACTCCATCTAACTGAAATCCACATTAATTTTACCAAATCAATATTTAGAAAAGAAACAAGAACCCAAAACACGTCAAAGGAAACCCAGACTTAACTAGATGACAATCTAGGAGTGAATTGAGATAAATAGTTATATTTTCATCAGTCATAGCCATAATGAGCTTGCCTGTGTTTCCTTATGAATCAGACTGGCCCAAGATTCCAGTTCAACTGCACGAGCTCCACCTTCATCAATCAGCTCACCCTGCTGTTCCTGTACTGCTGGTTGATTGTTATCAGAAATTTCTTTAGGAGAATTCAAGTTTACGGAATTTGAACAAGCTCCATGTTCATCTGTAGCCTTGAATCATGCCAAAAACTATTTCAGATGTCTGTATTTAAAGAACAATACCAGTAACATCATTGGAATAATATTCTCACTAAATTTCTACTATTAAAAAACACTCATAGTTTTCCATTTTCATATTGCCGTCCTTATTACTACAATGTAAGAAATTCTCTTAAATCATGCCCTTAACTCATGGCTAAAGAGGTAATTTGCATGAGGTTATAATTAGGTCAAGTCAATACCACTCAGAACAACTTTTGCATTCCTTTGAACACCATGGCAACAATGCTGTGATTAGCTACTCCTCAAATTGTGCAATTATACTCTTCACATGCAATAAGCGTCTATAATAATTTGAACAAAAACAAGTAAATCTAGAAGTAACTTCAGAACAAGAAGCATGATCACATATATGGGTGTTGAATGTACTCTCCAATGTGAGATAAAGAGAGAATTTAGCATTCTGCTGTGGTTCTTTCATAAAAAAGGGCAAAATTTCCATGATTATAATCTTAAATTGCAGAAAAACAATTAAAAAGGAAAAATCTTTGGCACATATGTTGACTTCACGGACACATTCACATATCCACATAACATGATAAATAGATACAAATATTTGATTCTGTGAATGTGTTATTATTGTTGCGCAGGTATGTTGCAAAAAAAAAAACAAATTTTAGTTCAGCTGTTAATCCTAAACATTTATAATGGATTGCACAGCCTTCAGCCTCTTTGACCTAAAATATGAAAATGCTAATCTTAAATTGCAGAAAAACTATTAAAATGGAAAAATCTTTGGCACATATGTTGACTTCACGTACACATTCACATATCCACATAACATGATAAATAGATACAAATATTTGATTCTGTGAATGTGTTATTATTGTTGAGCAGGTACATTAAACACACACACAAAAAAAGCACAGAAATTTGAGTTCAGCTGTTAATCCTCAACATTTATAATAGATTGCATAGCCTTCATCCTCTTTGGCCTAAAATATCAAAATGCTAATCTCATATTTGTAACATGGAAAGAAGATCGTAAGTAAAAGAAGCAACATGAGATAGCTCACCAAGTCAAATCTCAACGCTTCAGCTATCTGCTTACTGGTAGCCTCCTGTTTTTCAACCTAGTCAGGGGAAAGGTATTTCAGGAACATAATAATAATAATAGTTATTATTATAAATAACATTAATAATAAAAATAAAATAGAGGACCACTCACCATTTGAAGTTTCAATTCGTTAATGTTCTTATCTAGCTTCAAAACATGAAGCTTCAATGACTGCAAGAAATAGATATATAAAAAATTAGCTGTCAATTCCTTCTACAAAAAAATAAATATATGACGAGGATGAAAATCCATGTTACAATGTAGAGGTCACTTAACTTATCAATCAATATACCTAATTAACATTGGATGTGCTTTTTCTGGATAAAAAAAGATCATTTTTTTTTTTAAAGTATTTTGTTATAGTTTTGTTATTTAGTGTGTTTGATTTGGATAAAGGTTTTATTTATATTCTTTTAAGCTAAAGCACTGAAAAAGCATAAATGGTTCTTTTATTTAAGCGCAAATTTCATGCTTCCAAAAAAGGATTTTTTTACATTAAAAAAAAAAGTACTTACGAAATTTTACATACAAGCATAAAATAGCTTTTATGATTTTTCGAAAGATCTTTTTTTTCAAAGCTCAAGTAAACCAGCCTATAATAATCATTTTACATGTGGTTAACCAGGAAAATAAATCTCTCTCCCACCCCACCCTTCTTTTACTCTTATTCACAAAGTAAATGTAGAAAGTAAATTAGCTGACACTCCCACATGAATACAAGTGGATGAGACAATTTTACCTCACAACGTTGTGCCTCTAGAGAACGCTTCATTGATTCCCTTTTACTTAAAAGGGTCTTAGGCCTCAAACAAGCAGGCCTACTATAATTCTTTCCCCGATACACAATGATTGCATAGCCTTTGTTCACTCTCTCTACTGCTACTAAAATTCCACCACTTTCCGCCTCTAAGGTCTGAGCTATCTGATGGACATCTTCCAGGCTTTCTTGTTTACATATTACCTTCACAAGTTCCCGATACTTCCAATGAAGATGCATATTTTCCACAGTTCCATCAAAAACCCCTCGTCTACCTGAGAATGAAGATAGGATTTATCAGTCAATTATTTTAAATAGCTTTAAAGATCTCATTTGTTTACTTCCAAATTTAGAATAATCAACTATCTATGACTGTGAATTTCAAACAACATATTCTAGAGTCACCTAGCAACAGGAAGGGCTTCATCTTCAAGCCAATCTTTCGCAACATGTATTTCTCTTCCTTAGTAATACCCTCTTTATCTATTTCTTGCTCTTGGAGGCTCTCTGCACTTTCTATCTCTGCTATAAGTTTTTCAGCCTTTGCTTTCTTTTCTAATGCCTGTATGTGAAAGCTATACCATCTGTAACTCCAAAAAAAATGCACAAAACAGAAAATTGGAGCTTGTTAATGAAATCATACCATTGACAACTTGATGCTAGTCCTTTTAATGGTTGCCTCAGCCTTAGCCAACATTCTTTGTTTAAAGATTGCTGTATCTTTCTGGAAGGCTGTGTCATTTCCTTCAGAATTACACTCCACGGTTCCTTGTTTCAGGTCTGGAGTGACTATAACTGACAAACTGTTTTCGCCCTTTAGTTTGTGTATTGCAATATTCCTCCGCTGTTCGATTGCTTTAGACACTGCAGGTGGCAAGAAGTCCTTTCCTCTATACAAAACGATAAACTCTCTATCCCGAGCAAGGAGAGTTCCTCCAGTCAGATGCTGCAGAGAAGTAGATCTTACATTAAACTGAAATTGAGATATAATCGTATCATGTCTATTTTTTTGCTCTTAAAAAAAATTGACTTAGTAAGGTTCTGTCAATACAACTATCTCAACTATTCCATTCAGGGAAAAGTGTACTTGACCCCCTTAAACTTTTGGGCACTTGCAAAGTGCAACCACTATAGTCAATGACAGGGCCATCAACAAACATCATTGTTCCTTCCGCCCACTGCTAGAGAACACACTGTTTGAGTAAATCCAATAAAAAATGAGTAGCCCGCTATTTGAATGATTTGGTGGAGTATAGAGCCAACATCCACTGAGGTTATATGTATATATTCTGCAACAATTTACTTCTTGTATTTATAATTCTTTTTTATATCTCAGTTTGCACAGGTTCTTTAAGAAGCCATTGAAGATGGAGAATATCCTATTCAAATGTGTTGAGATATATAAAAACCATTAATGTAGCCTCACCTAATAGCTTAAGCTTTTGGGTTGAATTGGTTATTTACATGGTATCAGAGCCTCGTGTCCCGGGTTCGATCCTCGCCGCCCCCCACTTTCTCTTGTGGAGTTTCTTAGCACAGATAGGTTGGGCCTGTTGCATTGTCCACTCTTCTAGCCCAAAGGGCTCTTGCGTGAGGGGGCGTGTTGAGATATAAACTCCACATTAGTTGCATTGGGGTGGTGTATCCCAAGGTTCTTTACATGGTATCAGAGCCTCGTGTCCCGGGTTCGATCCTCGCCGCCCCCCACTTTCTTTCAAGTGGAATTTCTTTGTTCGCACAGGTAGATGGGCCTGTGCATTGTCCACCTTTTAAGCCCAGTGGGCTCTCGTGTGAGGGGGCGTGTTGAGATATATAAAAACCATTAATGTAGCCTCACTTAATAGCTTAAGCTTTTGGGTTGAATTGGTTATTTACAAAATGCAACAGAGAAGAGGAGAGTGATTTGATTCTTTTACATTTTCATTTTATTTTATTTTATTACCATATTTAAAATATTAGAAAAAATAAAAATTTAAGGAAAAAAAATCAAGGACCCAGATTTAATAGAGATGAACTGTTGAGATTCACTCACAGTGGCAAGTTAACAACATCTTAACAGAAGGATATATTGAGACATTAGCTAAGTTTTAAGGATTAATTGGGACAACTTTAGAGTTTTCAAGGTGGTTATTTGCAAAAGGACTAAAATTTAGGGGGTCTTAATGTACTTTTCCCTTGCATTTACATAAAATTAAGTTCCGTTTACTACAGTTACAAAACCAGTGTTTAACTAGCTCGCCTTACAGTTAAGCCAGATCATGCATTTAAATTTGAAACTGTTAGCGTATCTTTGTGTTTTTTATTCATCTTTTGAGACCCAAAAAGAGAAAAGATAGCCTTTCCTGTCCTCATGACAGAGGTCAAAAACAATAAGAATTTCATCATAAGATTATATTCATTTATTCTAATCACACCAGATTAAAGAAACATCCAAAGGTGATTACAATCTTCAGTAATCATAATAAATACTTTGAGCACCATTATGCAAGTTATGACCAATGAAAATTCCACATGCCAGTTAATAAGTCAACATCAAATCATGACCTCATTAATTTACTGACAATGACTAAATATGTATTACCTAACTGAACAGTAAATGCAAAATACCACATTATGACCTCCTTAATACACATAATTTTTCCAAAGATGCGTCAATCAGCAGAAGCCAGATGATCGCAATACCTGAATTCTAACCATTAAATTACATTCTGACAGATAAGTGGTTTTCAGGCTACAATGTCATCTCTAGGTCCTTTGATTATTCCATTTTGATTCACATTCATAAATCAGAGCTCTATGGCTATAATTCACTGGAAGTTTTTGACTGAAATATGATTATAATCTCAATGAAGCAAACAATCTTAAAGGAAAAGAGCAAATGTGTAACATGAAAAGCTTTCTTTTTAAAAGAAATTTTAACATTTTCTAATCGTTACTCGGAATTTGCTAGATTAAACAACTGAAATTATGAGCTTCTTACGAGGCACTTGCCAATTTGATCAAAAGGGTGATTGGAAATTGTTAGAGAAGTCTAAATATAAAATCATTAAAGTAACATTCGCTTAACAACTTGAGCTTTTAGGTGAGATGATTGTTTAATATGACATATCAGAGTCAGTAACCAAGTGGTCACGAGTTAAATCCTCACTAGCCCAATTCTTCTAATAAATATTTATTTGTGGAATTTCTTAACACATGTAGGTGAGCCTGTATATTATCCATCTTTTAAATCCAATGGGCTCTTGTGTGAGATGATGTGTTAGAGAAGTCTAATATAAAACCATTAAAGTGGCCTTCACTTAAGAGCTTCAGCTTTCAGATGAGATGGTTGTTTAATAGAAACATCCACGAACAAAATTGTAGAATGCAAACATATCTAGCTTCCACTTTTTGTAGTGTACGTTTAAAGTAGGAGAAAACTGGTGTTAAGAACAGTATTCAAGATCCTTCACTTCAAACCACCAGCATGAACAATTTTGGTGGGGTTAATTTAATCCATGGTGAAATCTCCTTGTTATTCATGTTGTCAAATAATTTACAAATTTTTTTGATGAATAATAGTTAACTGCAGCAATGGAAATCACACATAACACATGACACCAAAAAGAGCAGGTGCAGGCTATGACAGGTGTCATACACTTCCATTTACCATAATATTTAAACCATAAGTTCTAAATTTCATAAAATTCGAAAGTTACATGCAAAAACAATAACCTACCTTTAACTCTCCGGCCATCATTTCACTGTTAGTATTCTGCACACCTCTCTTTACAGCAATCTTTGCAATCTCACATCTTTCCCAGAGCTTAATAATTGCAGAAGCCAATCCGTGAAGTTTCTTGTTTCTACCTGTGAAACAAAAGAACAAGAAAAGCAATTAAGCCCAATTTTTGTCAGATAAGAAAAAGTAGGGCAAACTCACCTAATGCAAAATGGCATGGTATGGGTTTGGCAAGTCTCCTCAACGTGGTCATTTCATCATCTGTTAGTTTAGGCTTCACACCATATGGAAGAAGGCGAAAAGGTTTCCTATATCCAGGAATAACAGCAGGTAGAAGATCAGCATCAACAGGCAGAGGGTCACATCCCCACCAATCAGTAAATCGTGGCCCGAGCCCCACTAACAAGCAGTTTGCATCTTCCGCAAGCTCTGCCTCACCCGGAAGTTGAAATCGTACTTTATTGGGAGTACCAACACCTACTATCAATGCTGGTTTTTCTGTTTTGAAGTTTGAACTTTGCACAGAAGATGTCGCTGAATTCGTTTCAGAAGTGCTGCTCTCTCTTTCATCACAATTTTCGTCATCACCATCCAAATGTTGAAAATCATCACCAATATTGTCATCTTTCAAAGCATTATCTGATAGGAAGTAAGGATACTTATAATCAGTCCCCCTGTACAATATTATCTTACTTCCAGATCTCCAAACAACAAGACCCCCAGTTTTTCTCTGCCAATGACAAAGAAATAAGCTATAATCAGATGATTATAAGCGGGGTACCATATCCATATTAGACCCAAATAAAAGGGGCTAAAATGCACATAAACCCTCAGACTATAGGTTAATTAAAGAAATCTTCCTGTAGTTGAAAACATAGGTGGTGTTCTGATATATTTTCTGATTTTATTTTCAGTCGACATATTTTTACTAATAATTACAAATATAAACCTTGTTTTTATTTTGTATTTTGTTTTCAAGAATCTACAAAGGAAATGGTGAAAACAACATATTCTCGTTTTCACCATTTCCTCCACAATGACTCGGAAACCATGTGAAAATAATTTCTATAATTATAAATAAAAACATATCAACCGAAAATGAAACAAAAAACAAAACAAATACCACATTAGCAACTCAGACCACTGAACTTATCAAACCATGCTAAGTAGTTACAATTTTATGATTAATCCCTAGTGCAAGTGCATAAAGCTCGTTTACAAGGAATTAATATGCACAGATTAGTCTGCATTTACTCATAGTTGAAGGAGATTTCTCTCAGTTTAGCCCAGAAAAAAATGATTTCTTAATATCTATAAACAAGTTTGATTTCAAAACTATAAAGAACTATTTCAACCCAAAAGCTTAAATTATTTGGTGAGACTACAATAATAATTTTTATATTTCTCGAATACGCCCCATCATACGGGAGCTTATTGGACTTGAAAGGTGGATGATACATGAGGCCCAACTTGGCTATGCTAAGAAATTTCATAATATTAATTATTTTTATTAATAGAATGAGACAGTGAATGATCACTTAGTTATGTCGGCTCTAATATCATATAAAGAATTAATTCAAATGAAACCATGAATGATCATTTAGTCACATCGGCTCTAATATCATATAAAGAATCACCTCAGCCAAAAATGTTAAACTAAGTGAGGCTACACTAACCATTTTTATATTTCTCTAACAAAAAATCTCTAACCAAATTTCATTGATTAGCATCCATAACAAGAAGCAAGTGAAATTAAAGCAAAAAAGTGACAAAAAAAATAAAATTAAAATCTTCATTTTTTTTTACCTCCAACAGCTCATGAGTCCTTTTCATGTTGATTTTACAAAGATCATCACAAACGATCCTCACAACCTCCGAACGCCTCCACCGCTCGTGAATCCCGTTGACGATCCCTTCGGTGATCCCAGCCTTCCCAACCTTGAGCTTCTGCTTCATTCGAAACCCTAGCGTCGTCAACCTCATTATCTCCGAATCCGAAAGGCTCAGCTCCGCCAATGTCGGCACTAGTTCCTCCCTCCTCTTGTTCACCTCTTTCTCCTTCTCCTTCACCTCCTTCGCCACCTCGTTCTGCCTCCATAGCCCCGTTCCGGTGCCCGGAACCGGAACCGGGTTATCGGGCGTGCTCCAACTTGTGTCGATGGTGTGGCCCACGCGTTGTCTGGGGAGGTGGTGAGGCAAGGGGACAAAGATTTCGCCGGCGGCGGTGGAGACGGCGGGAGAGGGAGGGGGAGTGGGTGGTTGGTCGGTGAAGCCTAGGGTTCGGAGCTTATCGGCGATTCGTTGAATGGCGGAGTTGGAGAGTGTTTGGGCCTGGGCTTGGGCTTTGAAGGAGCTCCGAATGTGGAATCTGGTGGTGTTGGTTGGGATGAGGGTTTTAGTTTTTGGGAAATGAAGAGGGAATAAGAATAATGAAGAAGAAGAAGAAGAAGGGAAGGTGTGGAAGTGGGAGTGAGTTGCAGGAACCAACATATCTCACTGCTTCATGGATGGATAACGAAACTCTACAACTTTACAACACACATGATGTTTATTTTTGTTCACTTCTCACGTGGACATATTAACGAACATTTAAAATTTTGAAAAATAGTTTTTTAATTTTTAGAAAAAAAATAAGATATCAATTTATTTGATAAGGTTGTTTTATATATTTTTTGTTTTTTATTTTTTATTTTAGAATCAAATTTAGAGATATGACTAAGTTATTTTTATTTTATATTTTGATTTTTAACTTTCAAAACAAAAAAAATATAAAAAAGAGGAAATAAAATACAATCAAACAGACACTAGATTCATGACATGCGATAACAAAGAGGAAATAAAATAAATGTGTTGTAAAATACCAGTAGATGTAGTTTAGTATTCATGTCCCTTTGGTTTTGATAATTGGCACAAAGACATGTAAAGGGCCATGACAGTTATTACAAAAATAAAAATAAAAAGGGCCATGGCAGTATGAGAAGTGTGAGGAGACATGTGTATTACGGAGTCATATGCTTTATGTAACAAGTAGTTGTGTTTTTGTCGAGCAAATATTTGGGTTGGGCGGGCAGAAATTAGAGTGAGCAAAAATGAGCCAACGGCTCGTAATTTATAAAAAATGAGTTGGTGTGGGTCGGTAAAAATGAACCGCCAATCCGAGTCAACCCGATCCAAGTAAACATGTAAAAAAATGAGCCAGCTCGCGGGTTGAGTTTTTTTTTTATAAAAAAATACAAAATATAATATATAAAAATGGACAAAACTCACACATGTTGTTATCATTTTTCTTCCTTCTCTAAACCTAAGTCCATAATCTTCTCACATCTCTGCCATTTTTATATTGTTAGGCTGTGTTGGCTCTGTTTGATTTTTATCTTACCCACTTGGTAGCAAGTAGCAAATGGTTCTGATTGTTTCTTGATGTTAATGCAAATTTGTTGTAAAGAAAATTCGAAACTAAAATATTTTTCTTTTATTTCTCATTTTTGTTTAAGCTGATGGAAGCCACATAGCTGGTGCATTATTACTACATGGTCATTTAAATAGGCTGAAAATGAGCCAACCCGCGAGCAATTTTCGAGCCAACTCGCGAGCTATTTTTGCAAGCCAAACCATGAGCCATATTTTTTAGCTAACCCTAACCTGGCTCCTTTTTTTCGAGTTGAATGTGGGTTGGGTCGGGCCAAGCCGGGCCGGGTTGGCCCGTTTTGCCAACCCTAGGCAGAATCATCCGACCAGTACCACCTTTGGGAGGGGTGAGTGCATGGGAGCTAAGCAGGTGGGAGTGAGAGCATGTGTTTGAGTCTCCCTATTACTACCTATGGGAGGGGTTTAAAGTTTAATCAGGACCTGAATCGGATTAGTTGCGAAACAATGAACCGATTGAAATATTTTCAAAAAAGAACATAATAAGTTCAATATTAGTTTATGGGGAAAATGTTTGTCCTTTTAAATGACACAATTAGTATCATTTTCCTCTCACAAAGAGGTGGGACCCACATCTTTATTTTTTTTTATCCACTCTCTCTCCCTTTTTATCTATCTCTTTCTCTCACTTAAAATGACATAATTTTACATCCTTTAAAATGATATACAACTTGGTGCAAGTGATCTTTTAGTTTTCATAATCTTTGATGTATAGTGTAATTATCCCATTAATAATATATTGAAGTATAATTACTTTCTATTCATGTTTATAGTTATATATAAATATATTGCTTTTACGAAAAATTTGATGATGAATGGAATAAGAATTTAATAAAATTAACCTACTTTTCCAAAATTCATTTTACGTATTCCTTTTCCTCCATTTTATAAAAGAATAATATTAATTATTATCTTTTGAATGATATAGATGAAATAGAATAAGTGTGACAATTTATTTGGTTTTATTTCATTTGATATAGTTTTCATTTATTTTTTAATTAATAATTTCATTATTTTTTATAAAATATTTAAATAATAAAATTAATAAAATATTGCATGAGACAAATTGTCTCACGCAACACATACAAAAGTGAATAAGACTCATTAAAGATAAGAGAGAGAAAGAAAATTATTTTGTGTGTGTTACATGAGACAAATTGTCTCATACAACATAAGAAAAATATTTTCCTAATAATATAGTGGTTTAATTTTTATTTTTTTCTCTGTATTGAAAAAAATGATTTTGTTTTCTTATTAGGCATTAATTTTTATGACAACTAAATTACGTAATTGATGTTGATTAAATCTGAACCAAATAAAACGTTGGTGTTGTGAGCATCTCCTCGTTATAGCAAACCCCATACCAACCTATTTCTTACCAACCTTGTTGGTATGGGGTGGTTTGATTCATTCTGCGGAGAAAGAGGATGAAAGTTTATTAATAGGAAGGACAATGATGCAGGCGAAGCAGGTATATTCTAAATTTCTTAGCAACGGACTTTGTGTGTATGAGGTGGTTCACTTTTGTAACTGAGTTTTATAGCATGTAAACGAGTAATTTATGTCTTTTGTTTTTACCTCCATTCATTATTCTTCATTTTCTTGTATTGGCCTTTGAACTTTGTTATGTTCAAGTCTTGATGGATAGATTTCAACTCTCTTACGTTAATCTTATTTTCCCCTGCCTATTCTGTTAGAGATTATATTTTATCGTTAAAGAAATGTTAGATACTCCGGTTGTAACAATCGTAAATTATAAGATTGTAATATTGTCTTTTACTACTTTCATAACCATTATAGTTTATGTTATGCACTGTCATGATTGCATCACATGGTGCTACTGATCATAAAGATTTTCTCAAGGTACGTGAGCAGCAGGAATTTGATGATGAGAAATATGAGAAAACAAGAAAAGTTGATATTTTCACTTTTCTATTATAAAGGGTATTGTGGTGAATGTTATTCAATTTGTCACTGTAACATCTTGGGTGCTGATGAGGGTGGGTAGTGATAGTTCTTTGGCACGTGAGTTGAGCTATACAACCAGCCGTCATGCCCAGTGCTTGGAGTTTAGATCAGTTAAGGTAAGAGGGTTATGACAGTAAAAATGCTTCTGGCAGGCTTCCAGCGGGAGGAATACATGAATGAATCGAATCAACACCCGAACGAGAGAGATCTAGAGGCTGCGCAAGTATATTATACAATTGAGGATAAATTAAAGAAATTAATATATACTAGTTATACTAATAAGATGCATCTACTTTTTGGTAGCCTATAACTTAAGAACTCCATAAATGAGAATGCTTGACTTGAAGCAATTTTGGGATGGGTGACCTCCTGGAAAGTTTCTCAAGAAGTGAGTGAGTGAGGACAAAGCATGTTGGAAAGTCTTGTGTTGATTTGTAGGGACAGTCATTGATCCTGCAAGTGGCCGGACATTATAACTACCTAGTAAGATTGTTATTTATAAATATAATTATACGTGACATTTATTATTTTTTAAACTCTTTGGAGTTTCTGGACTGTTTGGGTGAGGGGGGATCCACAATTAGGACCAATCCCTCTTGAATATAATTTCCCCTTTAATAATTGTATATATTATTAACTAAATAACAAGCTCTTTTGAGGAGTCAATTGAAAAGGCAGATCATAAAGGTGTTGTTTGTGAGTATTTTAAAGTTAAAGTGTGTAACACCTCGTGTGCACCTAATGTATTATCTTTTTTGTAGTATTAAGCACAGTAAAATTAATTAATAAATTAATTAATTTAATAGCTTACTTGATGATTATTCACATGAGAATTATGAGTGAATTCCCTAACACAATATTAAGCTCAACCAATGGTGCAATAAATTCCACAAGTCCTTCAGTTTAAAGACAATCAATATAAACTGACTATGTTGTCATGCTAGGCACCGAATAGCCAATACAAATTCCCAAACTAGGATTACATGACTCCACCTTAAATTGCAATATTAAGCTATGTTAAACTAGACATAACAAGCTTTCCAACAAGGTATAGCATGAGTCATTCGGTTGAGTATAGCTAGAGTTATTCAACTCACAAAATAACTGCTTAGAACCAGACTTTCGAAATTAATGCAACAAATTTAAAACTTAACCCTGATTTATTCATTTATCCAAAGCTCCTAAGATTTTATATAATTATATTCCTTAGAGTAAGGTTTACATAGGTTCAAGTCTCACTCAATTTGGAGCTCTCTAGTTCAAGATATGCACGTTTTACTGCACTATGTCTGATCTGCCTAACTCATGCTCGTTAGACTGCTCGCTTGAGTGAGCAAGTCAGTAACAAGTGTTGTTCTTCAAATTTTCTCACTAGACTTCTCGCTTGATTAAGCTGTGATGTGCATCTGGTAGGTATAGTTTTCTGTATTAAAATTGATAAGAATTGAGTCATAAAAGAGCAACTTAAATACATATTTGCCAATTATATTGATTCTTTCTTTTCAATGATATTTCTCACCTATTGGTTGTGTTTTTACAGGAAAAAGAAGTCAAAATTATAAAAAGCCTGTTAACGCAATTCCAGACGAGTGTAGCACACTACAAATTCCAGCAGCATGGCGTGGATCGGCACCACACTGGCGCACACCCGCGCCAGTTTTTGGATTTCACAGAGGTGTTTTGCAAGTGGCGCCAACCGGCGCCGAATTCTGGAAAAACGAAAATGTGTCAGTAGCATGGCGCCACTTGGCGCCAAAATGGAGCCAAGTGGCGCCAAAATCAAGCTTAGTGGCGCCAAGTTCATTTGGAAGGCATAGGAGTGGCGCCCAGTGGCGCCAAAATGGCGCCAACTGGCGCCACTTTGCGAGGAATTTGTTCCGGTTTTTCAATTCTGGCAGTGGCGCGGCGCAAACTTGCGCCACACCGGCGGCAACTGGCGCCGGGTTGCCGAAAAATTATTCTGTGTTGTCCTGGGGGTATTTTTGGAAGAAAGAAAAGAGGCTTATAAACAGGATCCTTATGACAGAATTGGGGATTCAGACTTGTTCTTCTGAAGAGAGACGACGGCGGTGCTCAGAGAGGATTCCTGGGATTAAGTTCTTC